TTCAGAATTAGAAAACATTGATCAGGACTGACAGAGCAGAGACACAAAGGTGCAGACAGGAACTGAGACAGAACTAAGCACTGGCAGATGTCACTCTGCACTTTCCTGCCTGGCACTGATCACTGTATAGTGTACACCCAGCCTGGCACTGATCACTGTACAGCCAGCACTGTGCACCCCGCCTGGCACTGATCACTGTGCACCCAGCCTGGCACTGATCACTGTACAGCCAGCACTGTGCACCTTACCTGGCACTGATCACTGTACAGCCAGCACTGTGCACCCTACCTGGCACTGATCACTGTACAGCCAGCACTGTGCACCCAGCCTGGCACTGATCACTGTACAGCCAGCACTGTGCACCCAGCCTGGCACTGATCACTGTACAGCCAGCACTGTGCACCCTACCTGGCACTGATCACTGTACAGCCAGCACTGTGCACCCATCCTGGCACTGATCACTGTACAGCCAGCACTGTGCACCCTGCCTGGCACTGATCACTGTACAGCCAGCACTGTGCACCCAGCCTGGCACTGATCACTGTACAGCCAGCACTGTGCACCCAGCCTGGCACTGATCACTGTACAGCCAGCACTGTGCACCCTACCTGGCACTGATCACTGTACAGCCAGCACTGTGCACCCATCCTGGCACTGATCACTGTACAGCCAGCACTGTGCACCCTGCCTGGCACTGATCACTGTACAGCCAGCACTGTGCACCCAGCCTGGCACTGATCACTGTACAGCCAGCACTGTGCACCCTACCTGGCACTGATCACTGTACAGCCAGCACTGTGCACCCAGCCTGGCACTGATCACTGTACAGCCAGCACTGTGCACCCATCCTGGCACTGATCACTGTACAGCCAGCACTGTGCACCCTGCCTGGCACTGATCACTGTACAGCCAGCACTGTGCACCCCCCGCCTGGCACTGATCACTGTGCACCCCGCCTGGCACTGATCACTGTACACAGGACACGCTGTAACAATGAGATCAGTATACAGAGTGCAGGTTATATTTGTAGCTCATTGTATCCGATGGACACTTCCTATACAATCCATTCATCACTCACCCACACCATGTGCTTCCAGAGCAGAGACTGCTGGAGGAGGGGACACCCAGACATGGGGGAGGGGAGGAGTATGGGAGATCAGAGAGGGGAGGGGTAAGGGAGATCAGGGAGGAGAGGGGGGAGGTGTAAGGGAGATCAGGGAGGAGATGGGGGAGGGGTAATGTAGATCAGGGCTGGGAGGCAGCACAGGAGGCAATGCAGAGGTGGCTGGGCTCACATGCTGGTCAGAGGGGATCACTGTGACAGGTTGGCCAGCTTGAACATGTACTGCAATGTATGTGAACCAAGATGACAGTTTTGATCCCAGAGCTCGCAGGGTCTGTGTGATATATCGGTGTGTGTAGGGATCATCTGCAGGGAAAGTAAAAACCTGGAGAGGAGTGATGGGGGGTGATGGGATGTGATTGGGGGGTGATGGGATTGGGGGGTGATGGGATGTGATTGGGGGTGATGTGATGTGATTGGAGGGTGATGGGATGTGATTGGGGGTGATGGGATGTGATTGGGGGGCGATGGGATGTGATTGGAGGGTGATGGGATGTGATTGGGGGTGATGGGATGTGATCGGAGGGTGATGGGATGTGATTGGGGGGTGATGGGATGTGATTGGGGGGCGATGGGATGTGATTGGAGGGTGATATGTGATTGGGGGCGATGGGATGTGATTGGAGGATGATGGGATGTGATTGGAGGATGACAGGAAGAATGCGGATTGGATCGCCATGCATACAGTCATGTCAGAGTGATAATCGTGTTTCCGGTCTGATGAGAGTCACCCGTTGTGTATTAGGTACTCCGGACCCTCGTGACGTCCTCATGATTGTCCCCGAGCGACCCCGGATCAGAACGCTCTCCGCCATGGAATGATCAATAGATTGCACTGTGCTTCCTGTGATATTTGGGGTCTCCCAGAGTCAGTGGGGCTGATTCACTAAAGGACGGGAATGTGTTCACTAATCTCATTATCCTACTGCCGGGGTCTCCAATCTTTCAGCACGGGGCCCGGCGTGTATCTTACAAATATTCCTCCACCAAAGTTTTAGGAATGAATGAATACATTGTAACTGAATGGTTTTTCTGCAGAATAGGACTGAGAACATCAGAGAAAGAAGTTCAGGAAAACAAAGAAGAGAAAGAAACTCAGCCATTAACCCCTTCCCATCCGGCTCCGAGCGGCAGGAACTCGGCCATTAACCCCACCGGCTCCCAGCGACAGGAAACTCAGCCATTTAACCTCTTCCCACCCGACTCCGAGCGACAGGAACTCAGCCATTAACCCCTTCCCACCCGGCTCCGAGCGACAGGAACTCAGCCATTAACCCCCATCCCACCCGACTCCGAGCGGCAGGAACTCAGCCATTAACCCCATCCCACCCGACTCCGAGCGACAGGAACTCAGCCATTAACCCCTTCCCACCCGGCTCCGAGCGACAGGAACTCAGCCATTAACCCCATCCCACCCGACTCCGAGCGGCAGGAACTCAGCCATTAACCCCTTCCCACCCGGCTCCGAGCGACAGGAACTCAGCCATTAACCCCTTCCCACCCGGCTCCGAGCGGTAGGAACTCGGCCATTAACCCCACCCGGCTCCGAGCGGCAGGAACTCGGCCATTAACCCCTTCCCACTCGGCTCCGAGCGACAGGAACTCAGCCATTAACCCCTTCCCACCCGGCTCCGAGCGACAGGAACTCAGCCATTAACCCCTTCCCACCCGGCTCCGAGCGACAGGAACTCAGCCATTAACCCCTTCCCACCCGACTCCGAGCGACTCGGCCATTAACCCTTCCCCCCCCCCAGCTCCGAGCGGCAGGAACTCAGCCATTAACCCCTTCCCACCCGGCTCCGAGTGCAGGAACACTCCTGACGTGCTGGGAATGTAACTGTTTACTATAAACCATTAAGGCTTGGTTCACATCAATGTGTGTGCAGGCCGTGTTTGCTCAGGAACGGCAGCCTATATCATGCATTGCCATATATGTCTTTGGGTCTTACAGCACGTGCACAGAAAAATGGACACGTCTTACTTTCCTGCTACCAAAACCATTGCACAGAGCAGCCCCAATCCTCTTCTTATTTGGGTCTCCAACCTGTGGCCTGGCTCCTCCTTCTGCCGAGTGCCCCCAACAGCAGCCTCTTGCTATAAGGGCACTCAAGCAGGCTCGCTCGCTGCCGAGCCACGCTCCTGTGAATGGACATTGTCCATTCCCACCAACGCCCTACCCCCACTCTCTCATTGGCTCACTGGCTGTGAGTGACAGCAGCACGCGCCAATGAGGAGAGTGAGATTTGGGAGAGCTTCAGCTCTCATGCACATTGCTGGATGGAGATGGGGCTCAGGTAAGTATAAATAGAATGCAAGGTTTAAAAAAAAAAAAAAAATCTGCCTTTAGAGCCACTTTACCAGTGCAATCAGCTGATCATTTACTACACTACTATTAGCGCATAATCTAGCCACTGATCAGCAGATTGCAGAGCTAAAGTCTGCAGCACCCTGTGAAGAGCAGAGATGCACATCTAAAGTGATTCCAGTGATGTGTTCTTATGTTTAACACTTGAGGCAGCGTCCTGTGTAGTTTACAGGAGCCTGCTGGACCCTCCTACCAAAATCTGACCTTACTACAGAGAAAATAGACCCAGTCACTGGGTGTCAAGAGATATTCTCAACAACAAAATAAGTTAATAAAAAAATTCTAAATTGCAAGATAAATCAGATTGTCAGCGAGATAGAGCAGTGAGTGTTGTAAAAAAAAATCTCAAGTCATACAGGTTTGACGCTATAAAGGACTGAACACTCAACAGACACAAAGTAATTATTGACAAGCTTTTTTTTTAAACTAGAGGGTAGTGCTGATCCTCACACCACATGCAGGGGCGCTACTGAAAAATTCCAATATTGTTCCAATAAGTACAACTAAACTTCTCCCTGATTATTGTTATTTTTTTTTTTGCAATGAAAGATTTTGGAAGGAAAACGGAATCCTCTCTCACCTCTACATCCACACTCCATCAGAGATCCTTATCTGCTTCTGTTATGAAGGTAGGCTTTGCCATCACTTTATGAAACTGACCGATAAGTGGGATGGTCCCCCTTTGCTGTATCACCTGAGCAGTCTCAGTGTGGTATGAAAACTGCAACCCCGGCATCTGTGTACAGCATTGCTTATGATAAACCTACTGCAGGGCATGCCTCGAATGTGAATGCAAGATGTAAAGACGTCTGGGAGAAGGAGTGAGCAAATTATGTAAGCAGAGGGATGAAAAGGTTTTTGGAAAGATCCTAAATAAACACACAAAGATGCTCAGAGATCTGCCAGTTTATTGTCATAATATATAACCGTCTGCTGTTCCTCACACCACCAGCAGGGGGTCCCAGTCTAATTGCTGTTCCTCGCACCACCAGCAGGGGGAGGGGGGGGGGGTCTAATTCCGCTGTTCCTAATTGCTATTGCTGTTCCTCGCACCACCAGCAGGGGGTCCCGGTCTTATTGCTGTTCCTCAAACCACCAGCAGGGGGTCCCGGTCTTATTGCTGTTCCTCACACCACCAGCAGGGGGTCCCGGTCTTATTGCGTTCCTCGCACCACCAGCAGGGGGTCCCGGTCTTATTGCTGTTCCTCGCACCACCAGCAGGGGGTCCCAGGGGGTTCCTCACACCACCCGGTCCCGGTCTTATTGCTGTCCCTCGCACCACCAGCAGGGGGTCCCGGTCTTTTATTGGTCCCTTATTGCTGTTCCTCGCACCACCAGCAGGGGGTCCCGGTCTTATTGCTGTTCCTCACACCACCAGCAGGGGGTCCCGGTTATTGCTGTTCCTCACACCACCAGCAGGGGGTCCCGGTCTTATTGCTGTTCCTCACACCACCAGCAGGGGGGTCTTATTGCTGTCCCTCACACCACCCAGGGGGTTCTTATTGCTGTTCCTCACACCACCAGCAGGGGGTCCCGGTCTTTCTTGGACACCACCACCTCTACCTTGCCCTCCAGTCTCTCTGCAATCTGCCCCTGCAGCTCCTGTAGATACCCCCGCTCTGAATTACTGTGTTCGCACAGGATGACACTGCGACCCTCCGCCACCGCGTCCAGCACTTCATGATGGGACATTTCACCTGAGGGGGGAGACAGACAGGTTGAGCGGGTGAATAATCTGAGTTTTTTGGGAACAATTATTACACAACGCCTTATGGACAGCACAAATATCCAGCTTGGTTGGGAAGGAACGACAACATTGCCTGTAATTTTTGAGGACTACCAGACTTTCAAAGAGAGGTTCTCCTCCGCTTTTCTAGGGTTGAAGCATTGAGTAGATTCTATGTGTCATTGTGGCAAGGTATGTGCATGGCTCGGGATGGGAAAGGCAATAAAACATTATAGACATTGAGCTGCCCGGTATAAAGATTTTGAAGAGATATAAAGCAGAAACGATTGATCAAAATGGAATTTAGGGATACCATCCTTGCTAAAAAGAGTACCTGTACTGTAGTAATAGACACAATGATGGAGACGGGTAGGCAGTGAAGGGTCAGGTTTAAAGTCTTTAGCATCGATTAACCAAATGCCTGAGTATGCAAACTTTTCTGTCCACAAATAAAACTGTTGCTCTTAAGCTCCCTCCTGCAGAGCCAAAGCCTAGGCAAAGATCCCACATTGTGAGGGTTTCATGTCACTAGAGACTGCAGACCTTAACTGGTAGACTTGTGATTATATACATACATATATACCATCAGAATGAACACAGGTCCCCTTTACAGGATAGCAGGACTGAGTGCTGAGGAATTTGTTTCACATACAGTGCACTTTACCTGTCAGGTAGAGATCAGCAGGGACTCCGCTGAGGATGCTGCTTCCTGATCCAGCACACACGGCCATCACACTAACAGAGGATTCTGGGAGTAAGAGAACCAAATTCTGTTAGTTCACTTCTCCTTCTTAATTACTATGTATAAAGAATGCTAAAGAAAAAAAGTAGGTCATCATGGAGGAAGAGAGGATAAAGGCAAGTGTCATCATTGAGGAAAAGAGTAGAAAGTAAGCATTATCATGGGAGGAGGAGAGGGTAAGAGTCATCATGGAGAAGAAAAGGAGAGGAGACGGTATGGGTCATCCTAGAGCAGGAAGGGGAGGAGACGGTATGGGTCATCCAGGAGAAGGAAGGGGAGGAGACGGTATGGGTCATCCTGGAGAAGGAAGGGGAGGAGACGGTATGGGTCATCCTGGAGAAGGAAGGGGAGGAGACGGTATGGGTCATCCTGGAGAAGGAAGGGGAGGAGACGGTATGGGTCATCCTGGAGAAGGAAGGGGAGGAGACGGTATGGGTCATCCTGGAGAAGGAAGGGGGAGGAGACGGTATGGGTCATCCTGGAGAAGGAAGGGGAGGAGACGGTATGGGTCATCCTGGAGAAGGAAGGGGGAGGACGGTATGGGGAGGAGGAAGGGGGAGACGGTATGGGTCATCCTGGAGAAGGAAATGGTATGGGTCATCCTGGAGAAGGAAGGGGAGGAGACGGTATGGGTCATGCTGGAGAAGGAAGGGGAGGAGACGGTATGGGTCATCCTGGAGAAGGAAGGGGAGGAGACGGTATGGGTCATCCTGGAGAAGGAAGGGGAGGAGACGGTATGGGTCATCCTGGAGAAGGAAGGGGAGGAGACGGTATGGGTCATCCTGGAGAAGGAAGGGGAGGAGACGGTATGGGTCATCAAGGAGAAGGAAGGAGAGGAGACGGTATGGGTCATCAAGGAGAAGGAAGGAGAGGAGATGGTATGGGTCATCAAGGAGAGGAGAAGGTATGGGTCATCGAGGAGAAGGAAGGGAGAGAAGGTATGGGTCATCCTGGAGAAGGAAGGAGAGGAGAAGGTATGGGTCATCGAGGAGAAGGAAGGAGAGGAGAAGGTATGGGTCATCGAGGAGAAGGATGGAGAGGAGAAGGTATGGGTCATCGAGGAGAAGGATGGAGAGGAGAAGGTATGGGTCATCGAGGAGAAGGATGGAGAGGAGAAGGTATGGGTCATCGAGGAGAAGGATGGAGAGGAGAAGGTATGGGTCATCGAGGAGAAGGATGGAGAGGAGAAGGTATGGGTCATCGAGGAGAAGGATGGAGAGGAGAAGGTATGGGTCATCGAGGAGAAGGATGGAGAGGAGAAGGTATGGGTCATCGAGGAGAAGGATGGAGAGGAGAAGGTATGGGTCATCGAGGAGAAGGATGGAGAGGAGAAGGTATGGGTCATCGAGGAGAAGGATGGAGAGGAGAAGGTATGGGTCATCGAGGAGAAGGATGGGTCATCGAGGAGAAGGATGGAGATAAGGTATGGGTCATCCGAGGAGAAGGAAAGGAGAGGAGAAGGTATGGGTCATTGAGGAGAAGGAAGGAGAAGGAGGAGAAGGTATGGGTCATCCTAGAGAAGGAAAGGAAGGAGATGGTATGGGTCATCGAGGAGAAGGAAGGAGAGGAGAAGGTATGGGTCATCCTAGAGAAGGAAAGGAAGGAGATGGTATGGGTCATCGAGGAGAAGGAAGGAGAGGAGAAGGTATGGGTCATCCTGGAGAAGGAAGGAGAGGAGAAGGTATGGGTCATCCTGGAGAAGGAAGGAGAGGAGAAGGTATGGGTCATCGAGGAGAAGGAAGGAGAGGAGAAGGTATGGGTCATCGAGGAGGAGAGAAGAATGTGAGGGTCATTATTGGGGGGAGAAGAGTAGAAGTTAAGAATCATTAAGGAGGAGCAGAGGGTAAGGGTCAACATGGAAAAAGGAGAAGAGAAGGAGAAGATAAAATCAGGGTAATCATGGAGAACGAGTGAAGGTAGAAGTCATCATGTAGAAAGAGAAGATAAGGTCAGGGTCATTACTGGGGAGAAGAGTAGAAGGAAAGCATCACCATGGAGGAGGAGAGGAGAAATATAGCTCACCTAGAGTCTTCCTCTTTCCCAGTGCCAGACGGACGTGCGCCAATCCCAAGTGATGTTTGACGCGTTCCACGGCTGTAGAAATGGACACAGGCTCAGACAGAGTACAGAGACGCCCCATGCCTGTGTCCAGTAGGGGGGTCTGAGGACAAAAATATTTCAGGAAAAAAAAAAAAAAAACCCATAAAACAGGTATATTTTCGAAAAAAAAAAGTTGCTGAGCTCACACATATTTGTATCTCTACAGAACTGAATATATTTTTCTGCTGTATTTTCACTATACAACCCAAACACGGCCTACTGTGTTCTTCTGTTACCACCCCCTCCACCAAACAGCTTAGTTTTTTTGTTTGGCCAGCTGTAAATCTTTATGCAGCATATTCCTCACCTTCTGCAGTGCGATGAGCTCTACACTATCACGTAGACTCGACTTCTCTGACAAAATAGCCAGGGCCTGCCGCAAAGCATCATGGGAGCAGCTTAGGCGGATGCGGACACTGCCTTCAGTATCGTTCCTGGAAAATGAATACAGGCACTGTAGACGGTGTATGCCATATGTCATAGATTAGACAAGATGTACACATAGAGTGCATCATTACAAGAGCTGGTAAGTGCGCACGCGGGCGTCCTGCAGGGATTGCAGCCTGGGCAAGAAGGTCTCTGAGGCATCACGGCCAAACTCCAAGATGTGGTCATATCCACCGGGGTGAGAAAGGGAGGTGCAGGCCCTGATTGGCACTGACACACATGGGCCTGCAGAGAGTACAAACACAAAAATCTGATCATTTGGTTTTACAACAATACATGTGTGGCCGTGCGTATTTAAGATTTTCAATATACCATCTTTGATTACTTTGAAGATGACTCTGGAACTAAAAGCCAGCACAAACGGTACTCTTGAGGTCTGAAAGCTACTGACCTGTCAACTACCCCACTTCACACTTATCTCAAGCAGGGGCAGACTGACCATCAGAAACTTGGGCACTGCCTGAGGGCCCGGAGTCAGTAAGAGGCCCCATGAGATGCCTCTGGTACCTTTCATAGGCTCTTTTGGGTGTGGTTTTTGGGTGTGGGTGAGGACACAGGGGCCCCATGATCCCCTATTGCCGGGGGCCCCATAAGTTGTCATTCCGCCCCTGATCTCAAGTGTTGTTTCTGAGCTACATAGTGAGCTTAGCGGAGTGGAAAAGCCCTGTGACCATTTACATTCTTCTTCTTATTTACCAGTAGAAACCCAGTTCCTGCAAAAGACCAGTTGTGACCATTTCTCTTTAAAGAGCTTCTGCAGACAAGAATGTACATAAGGATGAGAGCACACATCATGGAGGAGGAAAGAAAAAAGTTAGGGTCATCATGGAACAGGAGAGGAGATGGTAAAGGTTACCATGGAGAGGTAAGGGTCTTAATTGAGGAGGAGAGGAGAAGGTATGGGTCATTGTGGAGGAGAAGAGAAGGTATGGGTCATTGTGGAGGAGAAGATCAGAAGGTTACAGTCTTCATAGAGAAGAAGAGAAGATGAGGGTCTTCATGGAGAAGAAAAGAAGGTAAGGGTCATAGCCATGGGGCAGGAGAGGGGAAGGTTGGGGCCATGATGGAGAAAAGGAGAAGGTAAGGGTCATCATAGTGGAGAAGAGCAGAAAGAAAGTAACATCATGGAGAAGATAAAGGTCATCATGGAGGAGGAGAGGAGAAGGTGGGGGTCATCACAGGAGAGAAGAATATAAAAAGGTATGGGTCACCGGGAAAGAGGAGATGGTCTGGGTCATCCCCGGAGAAGGAAAGGAGAGGAGACTGTCTGGGTCATCCCCGGAGAAGGAAAGGAGAGGAGACTGTCTGGGTCATCCCCGGAGAAGGAAAGGAGAGGAGACTGTCTGGGTCATCCCCGGAGAAGGAAAAAGGAGAGGAGACTGTCTGGGTCATCCCCGGAGAAGGAAAGGAGAGGAGACTGTGCGGGTCATCCCCGGAGAAGGAAAGGCGAGGAGACTGTGCGGGTCATCCCCGGAGAAGGAAAGGCGAGGAGACTGTGCGGGTCATCCCCGGAGAAGGAAAGGAGAGGAGACTGTGCGGGTCATCCCCGGAGAAGGAAAGGCGAGGAGACTGTGCGGGTCATCCCCGGAGAAGGAAAGGCGAGGAGACTGTGCGGGTCATCCCCGGAGAAGGAAAGGCGAGGAGACTGTGCGGGTCATCCCCGGAGAAGGAAAGGCGAGGAGACTGTGCGGGTCATCCCCGGAGAAGGAAAGGCGAGGAGACTGTGCGGGTCATCCCCGGAGAAGGAAAGGCGAGGAGACTGTGCGGGTCATCCCGGAGAAGGAAAGGCGAGGAGACTGTGCGGGTCATCCCCGGAGAAGGAAAGGAGAGGAGACTGTGCTGGGTCATCCCGGAGAAGGAAAGGAGAGGAGACTGTGCGGGTCATCCCGGAGAAGGAAAGGAGAGGAGACTGTGCGGGTCATCCCCGGAGAAGGAAAGGAGAGGAGACTGTGCGGGTCATCCCGGAGAAGGAAAGGAGAGGAGACTGTGCGGGAGACTGTCTGGGTCATCCCCGGAGAAGGAAAGGAGAGGAGACTGTGCGGGTCATCCCCGGAGAAGGAAAGGAGAGGAGACTGTGCGGGTCATCCCCGGAGAAGGAAAGGAGAGGAGACTGTGCGGGTCATCCCGGAGAAGGAAAGGAGAGGAGACTGTGCGGGTCATCCCCGGAGAAGGAAAGGAGAGGAGACTGTGCGGGTCATCCCCGGAGAAGGAAAGGAGAGGAGACTGTCGGGTCATCCCCGGAGAAGGAAAGGAGAGGAGACTGTCTGGGTCATCCCGGAGAAGGAAAGGAGAATAGACTGTCTGGGTCATCCCGGAGAAGGAAAGGAGAGGAGACTGTCTGGGTCATCCCCGGAGAAGGAAAGGAGAGGAGACTGTCTGGGTCATCCCGGAGAAGGAAAGGAGACGGTATGGGTCATCCCAGACAAAAAAAAGGAGAGGAGAAGGTATGGGTCATCCTGCAGAAGGAAGGAGAGGAAAAAGGTATGGGTCATCCTGGAGAAGAGAGAAGAAGGTAAGGGTCATTATTGGAGAGAAGAGTAGAAGGAAAGCATCATTGTGGAGGAGGAGAGAAGGTATGGGTCATTGTGGAGGAGAAGATCAGATGAAAGTCTTTACGGAGAGAGAGAAGGTGAGGGTCATCATGGAGGAGGAGAGGAGAAGGTAAGGGTCATCATGGAGGAGAAGAATAGAAGATAAAGGTCATCACGTAGGAGGAGATGGAGAAGGAGAGGAGAAGGTATGGGTCATCATGGAGAGAGAGGAGAAGGTAAGGGTCATCATGGAGGAGAGGGTAAGGGTCATCATGGAGGAGAGGGTAAGGGTCATCATGGAGGAGAGGGTAAGGGTCATCATGGAGAAGAAAAGACGTTAGTTCTGCTAAAAGCACCACCAGAGGGACTAGTACAAGGATGATGACGCTGATCCCATCATCCAAACTCAGGGGAGGTGATGCTGCATGTATTGGCTGCTGCATCCCTTCCAGCCACAGATGCCGGTATATAGTCCTGCCTGGAGAACCGATAGCTCCCCTAGACAACAAGCACCTATCTCTACCCCTGGCTACAGCATCTGCAGACTGTAAAAGCTAGGGGAAGGGGAAAACAACCCCACCCTACGCTCACACATGGCTGTCATGAGAAGGCCTTGGCTTCAATGCCCTCTGGAATACAGAGATAAGGAATTCTGACACATTTCTGTCTCTGCTTTACAGCACACTTGTTCCAGGTCAGTGACTGAAATAGTATTGATGTCAGACACAGCCAGGCAAGTAGCATTTTCAGACCAGGAATGATAACCCCATACTTCCTCATTTGATGGTCTTGCTGAAAGGCACATATGTATGTGAGCATCATTGGAAAAGGCTGGTATTCAGAATGTCAGGCCCAGGATTTAGGTGTTCCCTAACACACAGAGTGACCACTCACCCAGCGCCCTGCCCAGCCAGTCATTAACACCATTACTCAACGCGTCACAGGCTGTGTGTGGGGAATATATGGCCAGACGGTTTTCCAAAGCTTTCACCACCAGGCGCTCCTTCCAGTGTCCGGCCGTCAGACGCTTCAGAGCCTTGAAAATGGGAGGGTGATAGGACAGGACCATGTTGGCTCCCATCCCTACCGCTTCCTCCAGGACCTCTTCCGTCAGGTCATTGGTCAGCAATAGTTTCTGTACCCGATGTGGAGGGCTGGGCTCCACCAATAGGCCCACATTATCCCAGCTCTCGGCCAGGGCTGGAGGGGCCAAGGCTTTGAGGTGGGAGACTACAGAATGGAGGTCCATCAGATGTCGCACTGGAGACCGAAGATGGGGCGAAGAGGATAACAGGAGATGGCTGGTCCACCGACTACCCAGCATTCACTTCAACCACGTAGAGCAGTCTGAAAACAAAAAAAAAAAAACAGGCAAAATGAAAAAAAAACAAACCATAAAGGAGTTCCCCCATACAATCCAAGCATGACAAGAACAACAAAAAGGTGCTGATATGCCAATGTTAGGGAACAATAAACTGGGGCAAAAAGTGGAAGTGATGCCCATGTCATCTGCCAATCTCCCAACTCTGATATAAAGAACCAAAAAAAAAATAGGCTAAATTAAAAACAAAAGTGTTTTCCATACAATACAAGCATGACAAGAGCAACAATCTCAACATGCCTGTATGCTCATGTTGGGGAACAATAACTTCAAGCAAAAATGGAATTGATGCCAAAGTCATCTTCCTGGCCGTATCCTCCATCCCTAGTCTAAAGGAGCAAAACAAATAAAATAACAAAAGAGATCCCCCCCCATACAATCCCAGCATGACAAGAACAATAGGTGCTTATATGATAACTTTGGGGAACAATAAACTGCAGAAAAAAAGTCTTCTTCCTGGCTCTGGCCGTATCCTCCATCTCTGGTATAAAGAATAATAATAATAAATATATATATAGAGAACACACACCAAAAAAAATTAAATGAAGACTGTTTAATCAGAGTCTAGCATCAAGTCAAAGACACTCCTGAGTATTGATCTGGTCAGGTAAGTAGCAGAGGGGGTTGTTCATCAGTTTCAGCTGCTTTGGTGTTAAATGAAATGAACAACAGGTGTACTAGATGGGTAACAATGAGGTGACCCCCAAAACACTGCTACTGTCACTACTGGTAGCATGAGGCCATACCTGGACCCTACAGAGGTTGTACAGGCAGTCGAACTCCTCCAGGATGGCACATCAATACATGCCATTGCCAGAAGGTTTGCTGCGTCTCCCAGCACAGTCTCAAGAGCATGGAGGAGATTCCAGGAACAGACAGTTTCTCTAGGACAGCTGGACAGGGTCGTAAAAGGTCCTTAACCCATCAGCAGGACCGGTATCTGCTCCTTTGTGCAAGGAGGAACAGGATGAGCCCTGCCAGAGCCCTACAAAATGACCTCCAGCAGGCCACTGCTGTGAATGTCTCTGACCAAACAATCAGAAACAGACTTCATGAGGGTGGCCAGAGGGCCCCACATCCTCTAGTGGGCCCTGTGCTCACTGCTCGGCACCATAGAGCTGGATAGGCATTTGCCATTGAACCCCAGAATTGGCAGGTCCACCACTGGCACCCTGTGCTTTTCACAGATGAGAGCAGGTTCACCCTGAGCACATGCGACAGACGTGAAAGGGTCTGGAGAAGCCGTGGAGAACATTCTGCTGCCTGTAACATGGTTCAGCATGACCGTTTTGGTGGTGGGTCAGTGATGGTCTGGGGAGGCATATCCATGGAGGGACGCACAGACCTCTACAGGCTAGACAATGGCACCCTGACTGCCATTAGGTATCGGGATGAAATCCTTGGACCCATTGTCAGACCCTATGCTGGTGCAGTGGGTCCTGGGATCCTCCTGTTGCAGTGGGTCCTGGGTTCCTCCTGTTGCAGTGGGTCCTGGGTTCCTCCTGTTGCAGTGGGTCCTGGGTTCCTCCTGTTGCAGTGGGTCCTGGGTTCCTCCTGTTGCAGTGGGTCCTGGGTTCCTCCTGGTGCAGTGGGTCCTGGGTTCCTCCTGGTGCACAACAATGCCCGGCCTCATGTGGGGAGAGTATGTAGGCAGTTCCTGGAGGATGAAGGAATTGATACTACTGAATGGTCCCCACTCTCGTTTGACCTAAATCCAATAGAACCCCTCTGATGTCATGTTTCGGTCCATCCGACGCCGCCAGGTTGCACCTCAGTGATGTCGTGGTCCAGATCTGGGAGGAAATCCCCCAGGACACCATCTGTGGTCTCATTAGGAGCCTCCCCCGACATTGTCAGGCATGCATACAAGCACGTGGGGGCCATACAGACTACTGAGGACCATTCTCAGTTGCTGCAATGACATTTCACCAACATGGACTCGCCTGCTGCATCATTTCTTCACTTTGATTTTCGGGGTGTCTTTGAATTCAGTCCTCTGTAGGTCGATCATTTTCATTTCCATCAAACGATAGGACATCCTTACGTTCCTCACCCATCCCCTGTCCATATCAGTATAGAGATCCAGCAGGAGAGTTCTCCCCATTGAGATCTGATGGGTTCTCAAAGTGTGTATATATATATATATAAAATATTAATAATAAAAAAAAAAAAAAAGTGCTCCCCATACAATCCCAGCATGACAAGAACATCAGAAGGTGCTAATTTGCTAATCTTGGGGAACAATATACTGGAGCAGATGCTCATGTCATCCCCCTGGACCCAACTCCGGTATAAAGAAACAAAAAAAAATAGCCTAAATTAAAAACAAAAGTGTTCTCTCTCCATACAATCCCAGCATGACCAGAATACACCCGACAAAGTGCTTTTCTGCTAATGCTGGGGAACAATAACTTAAAAAAAAAAAATTAAACTGACGTCCAAGTCATCTTACTGGCCGTATCCTCCATCTCTGGTTCAAAGAACCAAAAATAAAAATTTAAAAAATAAATAAAAACACAACAAGGTACAAAGGTGCTCCCATGAACAAGCCCAGCACAACAAGAATAATAGGTGCTTCTATGTTAATGTCGGGGAACAATAAATTGCAGAAAAAATGGAATTGATGCCCAAGTCATCTTCTGGTTGTATCCTCCGTCCTTGGTCTAAAAAAAAAAAAAAAAAAAAACAACACAGAGGCAAAATAAAGTGAAGAAATAAATAAAAAAAAAAATCCAAGTGCTCCCCCGTCCAATCCCCAGGACGAGAACAATAGGTGCTCATATGCTAATGTTGGGGAACAATAACTGCAGTAAGAAGTGGAAGTGATGACCAAGTCCCCTGCCTGGGTATCCCCCAACTCCAATATAAAGGACCAAGAACTCCCCTCCAGACAGTTTCTAGGAACCTGAAGAGCCACCAGGAACTGTCCCAGCTTCCCCAGTCCAGGAACCCTCCCCCCACCTATCACACGTATGATGTCACAGAAGATTCCAGAAGATCCGAGAACTGACCCAGGAACTGTCCCCACTTCCCCAGTCCAGGAACCCTCCCCCCACCTATCACACATATGAAGTCACAGAAGATTCCAGAAAATCCCAGGAACTGACCCAGGAACTGTCCCAGCTTCCCCAGTCCAGGAACCCTCCCCCCACCTATCACACGTATGATGTCACAGAAGATCCTGAGAACTGTCCCAGCTTCCCCAGTCCAGGAACCTTCCCCCCACCTATCACACGTATGAGGTCACAGAACATTCCAGAAAATCCCAGTATATATGGTTACACTGGAATTCAAAAATCCACCTATCTTACTGGTTGGGAAGGAGCCAGAATCTTCCTGAGATTCTAAAAATACCATTTGCCTGGCAATCTAAATCAAAGGCTCCATTCGTCAATGACCTGGAAGAAGTCTACAGATCAGGAGTTCTGGCTTCACTGGCAGCATGCTTGCAACGGGTCTGTCAATGTGAAAGTAGCAAAGCCTGGGAGAGCCGGGGAAGGGGCATTTTCTGAAGGATGTCAGCAGTAACAGAGGCTATTTCCTACCAGTAGAGGGCGACTGTAATCTAGGATGAGTGGAGGACGCTGCAATGTGCAGCCAGGCGACTGGCATTGTCGGAGGAGCTCAGCGATGGTGGCTTCCATTCTTGTAGGAAGGATTCGGAAGGTCACCTTCACACTCAGCAATACACAGGGAGGAGCAACTGGAACTATAGGGAGATGAGACGACATGCTGAGACTTGTAGTTCCTATTGCCACCCTGCTACACCCTCTGGGGTAATGAGCTGCAAATATATGGCATTAAAAAAAGCTAAACCAGATCTAATAATAACAACAATAATAATGCTTAACAGCTCAGAACACTCACCACCACTGAGAACACATCATCATGGGTCAATACAGGAGGCGGCCATCTTACTACACCCAACGCCACAGCTTCTTCCTGTATAAGAGATGTGACGGCCATCTTACTACACCCAACAACACAGCTCCTGTGTAAGGCGCTATGTACGGCCATCTTACTACACCTAAAACCACAGCTTCTTGTGTAAAAGGTATGACGGCCATCTTACTACACCCAACACCATAGTTTCCTTTATAACATGTATGACGGCCTTCTTACTATACCCAACACCACAGCTTTCTCCTGTATAAGGGATGTGACGGCCATTGTACTACACCCAACACCACCGCTTTTTTTCTTGTATAAGAGGTTTGACGGCCATCTTACTACACCCAACACTACAGCTTCTTCCTGTATAAGGTTTATGACGACTATCATACTTTACCCAGAGCACAGGAAGCGCTGGGCGGAACCGGAAGTCGGTTCCCAGGAAATGTAAAAAGGTGAAGAGGAAGTGGTGCGGTGGCCATGTTGGTACACCCAGAGGAGGGAAGAGGTGAGTATAGGAATGGTGAGAGGAGCTGGAGTGTAATGTGGATAGGATTGGGAATGATGGAGGGGGAAGGGATGTGCATATTCCGGTTACATGGCGGAGTGTAGTGCTGTGAGGTGTGTAGAGAAAGGTGAAGGAGCTGTTCTGTGCCAGGCTGAGCTTTATGTAGGTTGAGGAGCTGCTCTCAGTCTCAGGGGGGCAGACAATATATGACCAGAGTACACTTCTAAAGTCCTTGTTGTATTTCTGTCTATTACAGGATCGGGGGAGGGAAACAGGATGGTGAGTATCAGAAGTCGGCGTCATTTCCAATCATGCAATGTCTCTCCAGATGAATCTGATTGGCTGATGCCGGGTGTCTTTCAGGCGGTGACTCTGCACACAGATTTGGGCGATATAAAAATTGAAGTGTTCTGCGAGAGAGCGCCGAAGGCTTGCGAGGTGAGTGTGTAACATTGTAATTAATGTCTGTGTATAAATAATGAGTTTGTTAGCTCCCATGTGGAGACACTGAGCAGGCTGGATACTGAGCCATGGGGAGCAGAAAAGAACTGTCAAAAGACCTGCGTAACAAAGTAATGGGACTTTATAAAGCTGGAACAGGATATTATCATGCAGGATTTATGGCGCCAACAGTTTGCTCAGCTCTTTACAATATAGAGGGAGACAATACAGCAACAATACAGTTCAATACAAGACGGTCAGGAGGGCCCTGATCCCTGGAGCTTACAATCTAAGAGGGAGGGGCTAGTGGTACAAAAATAGTAACTGTGGGGGATGAACTGGTAGGAGGAATAGAAGATTCCATTATTAGCTGAGGGCAGGATAGGCTTCCCTGAAGAGAGAGGTTTTCAGAGATCGCCTAAAAGTGGGCAGAGTAGGTGATAGTCAGATAGATTGGGGTAGAGAGTTCCAGAGGATGGGGAGGCTCTGGAGAATTCCTGGAGACAAGCATGGGAGGAGGAGACAAGGGAGCTAGAGAGCAGTAGGTGGTGGAAGCAGCATTGAGGACGGTTTGGGTGATATTTGGAGACAAGATTGGTGATGTCATTGGGGGTGGAGGATATAAGAAGATATCCAAAGCCTTGAATAGGCCAGTCAGTTCTGTTTAATCACTTATTAGGAAGTGGAAAGTTCGGGGATCTCCTGATACCGAGCCAAGGTCAGGTGGACCAAGAAAGATTGCAGCCACAAGCTGTCAGAAGAATTGTTCGAGATATAAAGAAAACCGCCACAGGTAACCTCAGGAGAAATCCAGGCTGCTCTGGAAAGCGATGGAGCAGTTTTTTTTCTAAGGAACACAATACGACGATACTTGAACAAAAATGAGCTGCATGGTCGAGTTGCCAGAAAGAAGCCTGTACTGCACTAATGCCACAAAATAAAAAGCCCGGCAACACCTTCACACGCCCCACAGCTTCTGGCACACTGTAACCTGGAGTGACCAGACCAAAATAGAGCTTTATGGTCAAAGCCAGAAGCGCTATGTTTAACAAGTGGTCAGCGGCAACAAGAATGCCGCCCCCACTGTGAAGCATGGTGGGGCTTACTGATGTTTTGGGGGGGGGTGGGGTGAGCTCTAAAGGCACGGGGGGATCTTGTGGAAAATTGATTGCAAGATGAATGCAGCATGTTACCAGAGAACACTGGCAGACCTATTTGCATTCCTCTGCACATGGGACACATTTGGACTTTCTAACAAGACAATGACCCTCAGCACAAGGCCAAGCTGACCCTCCAGTGGTTCCAGCAGAAAAGGTGAAAGTTCTGGAGTAGCCATCACAGTCTCCTGACCCTTATATCATCGAGCCGCTCTGAGGAGATCTCACACGTGCCGTTCATGCAAGATGGTTGCACGGTTACAGCGCAGATGTTTAGTTCTGGGAGGGTGACTATAGAACCTCCTCCCAGAACCTTGCCCCCGGGGTGCCCATCGGACGCGCTCTGTGATTGCGGTGTCTTTTGGACATAGCTGATCACAGATCGAGGTAAAGGGCCAATCACAGATGAGAGTACTGAGCTCATCATTGTGCTGCACATCTTCTCCCTGTCCAGTCACAGCCTAGGAGGGGCAAGTCCAGGATGATCTGGGCTCATAGGAAGCAGGATGAATGATGTTGACCATCAGGCTGAGGACATCTAGTGGTAGTTGTCTAGTTCTGGGAGGGTGACTATAGAAGCCATCGGGCGCCCTCTGTGATTGTTGTGTCCTTTGGACAGAGCTGATCACAAATGGAAGTAGAGGGCCAATCACAGATGAGAGTGCTGAGCTCACCATTTTGCTGCTTACCTTCTCCCTGTCCAGTCACAGGCTGGAGGTAGTAGGTTCAGGATGACCTGGGCTCAGAGGAAGTAGGACGAATGATGTTGGCCATCAGGTTGGGGACATCTAGTGGCGGTGATGGGGGAGTCTCTGGCTTGAAGGTGAATGTTGCTGAATCTGTGGACGTCATTCTCATTTTTCTCTGTTGTCCCCAACAGAACTTCTTGGCCTTGTGTGCCGGCAACTACTACAGCGGCTGCCTTTTCCATCGCAACATCAAAGGCTTCATGGTGCAGACGGGGGACCCCACCGGTGAGAGCCGACCCTCAGCCTGACCTGCAGAGATCTGCATTCTCTGATTTGTACATCGGGGGAGGGGACACTTTTAGAGTGGGGCTTCATCGCCAATTAGTCGCTTTACCACGGAAATATTAGTGTGTGTTGGCAGCGGGCTGTTGGCATCACATCGATTTCAGTCTTGCTGCCAACAAACAGGGCTTCCCGTCCGTTCTCCCATTGGGTCAGCAAGGGGGGCGGGACCTGTGGCCATAGACCGCCACGTGAAACTGCAGGGAACGCTTGCCTGGTTATGGGGACATCACATGGCGGGGAGGGGGGGGAGGTCTTGTCTCGTATCCGTCCAATGGGAGCCTGAGAGGACGACATGCGTATTGTGCCCAGTGGAGGGATTCAGAGACGCACAGCTCACTGCCTGCAGTTAGTGGGTGTGGCCGGAAGAAGCAGGGAGCTACCATGTGTCCAGCCACTTCTGAGCGTGCCCAGCATGTTGGGTTGTGGAGGGGGGGGGGGGGGTTCCTTGAAGACAGTCATGTACCTACCCTGTACATGGAGAACTACAGGGACCAGCATGCTGGTACTATGTGCTATGTGTAGTGCTTGGGAGGGCCCTTTCATGTAGGCTGTACGGGGCCCCATGATTTCTAATGGTGCATTAAAGGGCAGAAGATACAACTCCTGTAGCGGCTGACTTATAATATAAGGACATGTAGAAGGAAGGGTTCCTGGTGCCGCCATCTTAACTAAGGGAAACCGGCAGGGAAGGCTCGCCGCTTTACAGCCGGAAAACACAGTGCACATGTGCGAACAGCGCTGCGCTTTGTGTATGGTCCCGCAGTCTACTGGACCTGTCGTGTCTCAGGAGGGTGCGGGGGGTGAACTTCTGGTCAAAACTAGAACCCCCTCCCCAATAATTGCTTCCCCTTTTGGGTGAAGTTTGGCTTTAATGTGCCATATACATGGGGGGGGGGGTTCGGGGTGTCAGTTATGGAACAAAACATGTCTGACACCTTCATTCATACACATATCACGCCCAGTGTAGACGGATTCCATTGTCCCCCAGCAGCAGATCTAATCCTCTCCTGTGATTTCCTCCTCCAGGGACGGGGAAGGGGGGGCAGAGCATCTGGGGACGGAAATTCGAAGATGAATTCAGTGAATATCTCAAGGTAAGTGTCACTCCCCATATAGGAAATCTGTGATGTGACTGCAGATCGGGGGCTTCCAAACCGGCCTGCGGGCCTCTGCTTACCTGTATACGGCCCCCCACTGACACCAATGATGGGGCACTATTCCTCCCACTGACACCAATGATGGGACACTATTCCTCCCACTGACACCAATGATGGGGCACTAAGCCTCCCACCCACCAATGACACCAATGATGGGGCACTATTCCTCCCACTGACACCAATGATGGGACACTATTCCTCCCACTGATACCAATTATGGGGGCACTATTCCTCCCACTGACACCAATGATGGGGCACTATTCCTCCCACTGATACCAATTATGGGGCACTATTCCTCCCACTGACACCAATGATGGGGGCACTATTCCTCCCACTGACACCAATGATGGGGCACACTATTCCTCCCACTGACACCAATGATGGGGCACTATTCCTCCCACTGACACCAATGATGGGGCACTATTCCTCCCACTGACACCAATGATGGGGGCACTATTCCTCCCACTGACACCAATGATGGGGCACTATTCCTCCCACTGACACCAATGATGGGCACTATTCCTCCCACTGACACCAATGATGGGGCACTATTCCTCCCACTGATACCAATGATGGGGCACTATTCCTCCCACTGATACCAATGATGGGGCACTATTCCTCCCACTGACACCAATGATGGGGCACTATTCCTCCCACTGACACCAATGATGGGGCACTATTCCTCCCACTGACACCAATGATGGGGCACTATTCCTCCCACTGACACCAATGATGGGGCACTATTCCTCCCACTGACACCAATGATGGGGCACTATTCCTCCCACTGACACCAATGATGGGGCACTATTCCTCCCACTGACACCAATGATGGGGCACTATTCCTCCCACTGACACCAATGATGGGGCACTATTCCTCCCATTCCTCCACTGACACCAATGATGGGGCACGCTATTCCTCCCACTGATACCAATGATGGGGCGCTATTCCTCCCACTGACACCAATGATGGGGGGCGCTATTCCTCCCACTGACACCAATGATGGGGCGCTATTCCTCCCACTGACACCAATGATGGGGCGCTATTCCTCAATGATGGGGCACTGACACCAATGATGGGGCGCTATTCCTCCCACTGACACCAATGATGGGGCGCTATTCCTCCCACTGACACCAATGATGGGGCGCTATTCCTCCCCTCACCACTGACACCTGAATGATGGGGCGCTATTCCTCCCACTGACACACCAATGATGGGGCGCTATTCCTCCCACTGACACCAATGATGGGGCGCTATTCCTCCCACTGACACCAATGATGGGGCGCTATTCCTCCACTGACACCAATGATGGGGCGCTATTCCTCCCCCACTGACACCAATGATGGGGCGCTATTCCTCCCACTGACACCAATGATGGGGCGCTATTCCTCCCACTGACACCAATGATGGGGCGCTATTCCTCCCACACTGACACCAATGATGGGGCGCTATTCCTCCCACTGACACCAATGATGGGGCGCTATTCCTCCCACTGACACCAATGATGGGGCGCTATTCCTCCCACTGACACCAATGATGGGGCGCTATTCCTCCCACTGACACCAATGATGGGGCGCTATTCCCTCCCACTGACACCAATGATGGGGCGCTATTCCTCCCACTGACACCAATGATGGGGCGCTATTCCTCCCACTGACACCAATGATGGGGCGCTATTCCTCCCACTGACACCAATGATGGGGCGCTATTCCTCCCACTGACACAATGATGGGGCGCTATTCCTCCCACTGACACCAATGATGGGGCGCTATTCCTCCCACTGACACCAATGATGGGGCGCTATTCCTCCCACTGACACCAATGATGGGGCGCTATTCCTCCCACTGACACCAATGATGGGGCCTATTCCTCCCACTGACACCAATGATGGGGCGCTATTCCTCCCACTGACACCAATGATGGGGCGCTATTCCTCCCACTGACACCAATGATGGGGCGCTATTCCTCCCACTGACACCAATGATGGGGCGCTATTCTCTCCCACTGACACCAATGATGGGGCGCTATTCCTCCCACTGACACCAATGATGGGGCGCTATTCCTCCCACTGACACCAATGATGGGGCGCTATTCCTCCCACTGACACCAATGATGGGGCGCTATTCCTCCCACTGACACCAATGATGGGGCGCTATTCCTCCCACTGACACCAATGATGGGCGCTATTCCTCCCACTGACACCAATGATGGGGCGCTATTCCTCCCACTGACACCAATGATGGGGCGCTATTCCCCTCCCACTGACACCAATGATGGGGCGCTATTCCTCCCACTGACACCAATGATGGGGCGCTATTCCTCCCCTGACACCAATGATGGGGACACTATTCCTCCCACTGACACCAATGATGGGGCGCTATTCCTCCCACTGACACCAATGATGGGGCACTATTCCTCCCACTGACACCAATGATGGGCACTATTCCTCCCACTGATCACCAATGATGGGGCGCTATTCCTCCCCACTGACACCAATGATGGGGCGCTATTCCTCCCACTGACACCCGCTATTCCTCCCACTGACACCAATGATGGGGCGCTATTCCTCCCACTGACACCAATGATGGGGCGCTATTCCTCCCACTGACACCAATGATGGGGCGCTATTCCTCCCACTGACACCAATGATGGGGCGCTATTCCTCCCACTGACACCAATGATGGGGCACTATTCCTCCCACTGACACCAATGATGGGCGCTATTCCTCCCCCCACTGACATTCCTCCCACTGACACCAATGATGGGGCGCTATTCCTCCCACTGACACCAATGATGGGGCGCTATTCCTCCCACTGACACCAATGATGGGGCGCTATTCCTCCCACTGACACCAATGATGGGGCGCTATTCCTCCCACTGACACCAATGATGGGGCGCTATTCCTCCCACTGACACCAATGATGGGGCGCTATTCCTCCCACTGACACCAATGATGGGGCGCTATTCCTCCCACTGACACCAATGATGGGGCGCTATTCTCCCCACTGACACCAATGATGGGGCACTATTCCTCCCACTGACACCAATGATGGGGCACTATTCCTCCCACTGACACCAATGATGGGGCGCTATTCCTCCCACTGACACCAATGATGGCCTATTCCCCACTGACACCAATGATGGGGGCACTATTCCTCCCACTGACACCAATGATGGGGCACTATTCCTCCCACTGACACCATGATGATTCCACCAACTGATTCCTATTCCTCCCACTGACACCAATGATGGGCGCTATTCCTCCCACTGACACCAATGATGGGGCGCTATTCCTATTCCTGATGGGGCCTCCCACTGACACCAATGATGGGGCGCTATTCCTCCCCACTGACACCAATGATGGGGCGCTATTCCTCCCACTGACACCAATGATGGGCGCACTATTCCTCCCACTGACACCAATGATGGGGCGCTATTCCTCCCACTGACACCAATGATGGGGCGCTATTCCTCCCACTGACTGACACCAATGATGGGGCGCTATTTCCCCCACTGACACCAATGATGGGGCGCTATTCCTCCCACTGACACCAATGATGGGGCGCTATTCCTCCCACTGACACCAATGATGGGGCGCTATTCCTCCACTGACACCAATGATGGGGCGCTATTCCTCCCACTGACACCAATGATGGGGCGCTATTCCTCCCACTGACACCAATGATGGGGCGCTATTCCTCCCACTGACACCAATGATGGGGCGCTATTCCTCCCACTGACACCAATGATGGGGCGCTATTCCTCCCCCCACTGACACCAATGATGGGGCGCTATTCCTCCCACTGACACCAATGATGGGGCGCTATTCCTCCCACTGACACCAATGATGGGGCGCTATTCCTCCCACTGACACCAATGATGGGGCGCTATTCCTCCCCCCACTGACACCAATGATGGGGCGCTATTCCTCCCACTGACACCAATGATGGGGCGCTATTCCTCCCACTGACACCAATGATGGGGCGCTATTCCTCCCCCCCACTGACACCAATGATGGGGCGCTATTCCTCCCACTGACACCAATGATGGGGCGCTATTCCTCCCACTGACACCAATGATGGGGCGCTATTCCTCCCACTGACACCAATGATGGGGCGCTATTCCTCCACTGACACCAATGATGGGGCGCTATTCCTCTCCCCACTGACACCAATGATGGGGCGCTATTCCTCCCACTGACACCAATGATGGGGCGCTATTCCTCCCACTGACACCAATGATGGGGCGCTATTCCTCCCACTGACACCAATGATGGGGCGCTATTCCTCCCACTGACACCAATGATGGGGCGCTATTCCTCCCACTGACACCAATGATGGGGCGCTATTCCTCCCACCTGACACCAATGATGGGGCGCTATTCCTCCCACTGACACCAATGATGGGGCGCTATTTCCTCCCACTGACACCAATGATGGGGCGCTATTCCTCCCACGACACCAATGATGGGGCGCTATTCCTCCCACGACACCAATGATGGGGCGCTATTCCTCCCACTGACACCAATGATGGGGCGCTATTCCTCCCACTGACACCAATGATGGGGCGCTATTCCTCCCACCGACACCAATGATGGGGCGCTATTCCTCCCACCGACACCAATGATGGGGCGCTATTCCTCCCACCGACACCAATGATGGGGCGGACACCAATGATGGGGCGCTATTCCTCCCACCGACACCAATGATGGGGCGCTATTCCTCCCACGACACCAATGATGGGGCGCTATTCCTCCCACTGACACCAATGATGGGGCGCTATTCCTCCCACTGACACCAATGATGGGGCGCTATTCCTCCCACTGACACCAATGATGGGGCGCTATTCCTCCCACCGACACCAATGATGGGGCGCTATTCCTCCCCACTGACACCAATGATGGGGCGCTATTCCTCCCACTGACACCAATGATGGGGCGCTATTCCTCCCACCGACACCAATGATGGGGCGCTATTCCTCCCACGACACCAATGATGGGGCGCTATTCCTCCCACCGACACCAATGATGGGGGGCGCTATTCCTCCCACCGACACCAATGATGGGGCGCTATTCCTCCCACCGACACCAATGATGGGGCGCTATTCCTCCCACGACACCATGATGGGGCGCTATTCCTCCCACGACCAATGATGGGGCACTATTCCTCCTCCCACCGACACCAATGATGGGGCGCTATTCCTCCCACCGACACCAATGATGGGGCGCTATTCCTCCCACCGACACCAATGATGGGGCGCTATTCCTCCCACCCGACACCAATGATGGGGCGCTATTCCTCCCCACCGACACCAATGATGGGGCGCTATTCCTCCCACCGACACCAATGATGGGGCGCTATTCCTCGCCTCACGACACCAATGATGGGGGCGCTATTCCTCCCACCGACACCAATGATGGGGCGCTATTCCTCCCCACCGACACCAATGATGGGGCGCTATTCCTCCCACCGACACCATGATGGGGCGCTATTCCTCCCACCGACACCAATGATGGGGCGCTATTCCTCCCACCGACACCAATGATGGGGCGCTATTCCTCCCACCGACACCAATGATGGGGCGCTATTCCTCCCACCGACACCAATGATGGGGCGCGATTCCTCCCACCGACACCAATGATGGGGCGCGATTCCTCCCACCGACACCAATGATGGGGCGCGATTCTCCCACCGACACCAATGATGGGGCGCGATTCCTCCCATTCCTCCCCCGACACCAATGATGGGCGCGATTCCTCCCACCGACACCAATGATGGGGCGCGAATTCCCTCCCACCGACACCAATGATGGGGCGCGATTCCTCCCACCGACATCCAATGATGGGGCGCGATTCCTCCCACCGACACCAATGATGGGGCACGATTTCCTCCCACCGACACCAATGATGGGGCACCATTCCTCCCACCGACACCAATGATGGGGCACCATTCCTCCCACCGACACCAATGATGGGGGCACCATTCCTCCCACCGACACCAATGATGGGGCACCATTCCTCCCACCGACACCAATGATGGGGCACCATTCCTCCCACCGACACCAATGATGGGGCACCATTCCTCCCACTGACAACAAAGATGGGTACCACTCCCCCTACTGCCACTGACACCAATGATGGGGCACTATTCCTCCCACTGACACCAATGATGGGGGCACTATTTCTCCCGCTGATGCCAAGAATGGGGTACTATTACCCGACTGCACTAGGGTATTTCCGTTAGACTCCCGCTTCCCTGTCCAAACACAGATCCACGGACACCCCACCGCTGACCATACAGGAAATAGACAGCACCAGACTTCTTAATACAGTAAGTAGAACTGCTTTATTTTAACACAGACACAAGATATATACACAGGGCGGGGAAATACAACCAGGAACAGGAAACACATCAGCAGGCCGTCCCATCAGGGGGAAGGGCTGCCGGAAACACCCCCCACCAAACCAAGACACACAATAGAACAAAGGGATACACCACCTGGTATTAAACAAGGAACAACAACCACTCCAATACACAAACATTACATCCCATAATAGTTTGCTCTGAGTCTGACATCCCATCCAAGATGGCGACCCCCCGCAGCAGCCTCAGGGATTGGTCCACACACGGAGGATTTTAGTGGAAATCACATTTTATAGAATATTAACCGTATATATTCCTGTGGGGGGCGTGTCGGTGGTCTGGTGACAGGGTCTCTTTATTATACGGTGGATTCAGTTTTCAGTGAAGTCTGGTGATTCCTATTCTGCAGCTCCACCTCTGATGTTATGTCTTCCTAGAGGTCTCCTTTCCTCCGCTGCAGAGATTTGTATTGGTGTGACTGCAGGTCAGTGTATAGAGATGTATTGCGGTGTGACCTCTCTCTCCCCTCCGGCAGCACAGCGTGCGTGGGGTGGTCTCCATGGCCAACAACGGCTCCAACACCAACGGCTCCCAGTTCTTCATCACCTACGGCAAGCAGCCCCACCTGGATATGAAGTACACCATCTTCGGAAAGTGAGTCATCGGGGCGTCTGGGTGACAACACTTGTATTAGACGGGGGGGGGGGGTGTCACCCCTTCCTCTAGTCTTATTATCAGGATATCAAACATGGAGATGTGTATCTGGGGGTCACTCTTCCTCTGGCAGGGGTCTCCAAACTGCAGCCGGGGGGGCACTCTTTGCTTGCCTTTTATCCAGCCACTGACATTAACAATGGGGCATAATTCCTGCCACTGACACCAATTATGGGGTACTATTCCTACCACTGATACCAATGATGGGACACTATTCCTCCCACTGATACCAATGATGGGACACTATTCCTCCCACTGACACCAATGATGGGGCACTATTCCTACCACTGACACCAATGATGGGGCACTTATTCCTACCACTGATACCAATGATGGGGCACTATTCCTCCCACTGACACCAATGATGGGCCCTATTCCTCCCACTGACACCAATGATGGGGCACTATTCCTCCCGCTGACACCAATGATGGGGCACTATTCCCTCCCGCTGACACCAATGATGGGGCACTATTCCTCCCACTTACACCAATGATGGGACACTATTCCTCCCACTGACACCAATGATGGGACACTATTCCTCCCACTGACACCAATGATGGGGCACTATTCCTCCCACTGATACCAATGATGGGGCACTATTCCTCCCACTGATACCAATGATGGGGCACTATTCCTCCCACTGACACCAATGATGGGGCACTATTCCTCCCACTGACACCAATGATGGGGCACTATTCCTCCCACTGACACCAATGATGGGGCACTATTCCTCCCACTGACACCAATGATGGGGCACTATTCCTCCCACTGACACCAATTATGGGGCACTATTCTTCCCACTGACACCAGCGATGGGGCATTGTTTGCTCCCACCAGGACACTTTCTAATCGCTCTGGCCACAATCCAGCCCTCTCTAAACTCTGAAAGACCGTAAAGTGGCCCTTTGTGTATAAAGTTTGGAGACTCCTGCCCTGGTCTTATTATCAGGATATTAGACCTAGAGATGTATATCTGGGGGGGTGTGGTCACCCCATCCCCCCATCCTTCAAACTTATTATCGGGGTATCAGACCCAAAGATGTACATCTGGCAATGGGGTCACCCCATCCTTTAGCCTTATCATCATGATATCAGACCTGGAGATTTACATCTTGGAAGCGGGTCACCCCATCCTTTAGTCTTATCAGGACCTGGGAATGTATATTTGGGTGTGAAATCGCTGAGATTCGTGCAACCACCCGCATAGTGAACTGCTGTGGACCTTAGTTGTGCAATCTGCTAATCAGTTGCTTGATTACACTCTACCAGAATGAAATCCAAGCAACTGATCAGCAGATTGCGGCAGGAAGCAGTATGTATGTCCTAAGGAATGCTGGGAAAGTGTTCATGAAACACTGGAGGAAGGGTGCTGTAATATCTACAGGAGCCTGTGGGCCCCTCCCACCAAACTTAAAGAAAAGACCAGCAGACAGACTCGTGATGACACCACTGGGTCTCAAGAGGTATTTCTTGAAAGGAAAATAATTTTTTTGAATTTGTTGATCTGGGACGGGATAAAGGAAAGGTGTTATATGTGTACATCACACTTCAACCTTCATGTGACAGAGGAAGTGGTGTCACCATCCTGACTGTCCAGACAGAGTTAGAAGCCCTTGGGCAGGTCAGATAGTTCCCATGTGGATATTTCACTGATTTTTATTGGCTGTTTCCAGGGGGTTCAGATTTAGGCCGGACCCCCGTTCCTGGTCTCGCATTGATCCGTCGTGTTTCTTGCAGAGTGATCGATGGACTGGACACTCTGGATGAGTTGGAGAAGCTGCCGATACACGAGAAGTCATTTCGCCCCCTGACAGAAGTGCGGATCAAAGATGTCACCATTCATGCCAACCCGTTTGCCCTTTGACCTTTGTCAGCCGGAGATGAACTCTGTACTCGTCTGTATCAGATGTTACATTGTGTACTGACCTTCTTGGGGGGGCGGAGGGAGCGAGTGGGGCGTGGTCTGATCTACTGCTGCCATTTGTGATGCTCAGCTTGCAATTTTTTTTTTTTTTTTTTAATAAAAACTTTTTTCTCTACTTTTGTGTCTGTATTTGATACACCTAATAGGGGGAATATGTTCTAGAAACCTCTAGGCCTGTGCTTGTCTGGCCTCCTAATTCTTCCTGCCGATGGATGGTATTCAGAAGAAAAATCGTACTCGTGACCATTGGGGGAACCTGAATCCGTTCTTGGACAATTTTTTTTTAATTACATTTAAAGCTGATCCCTGGGCTGCCCCTGTCCCCCACCTACTCTCCCCTCTAATTCAGCCATTCCTAACCAGGGCTCCGTGCAACTCTTGGGTCCTCCAGAGGTTGCTGGGGGTTCTTTAAGCCATCTCCCCCATTTGATGATGCCAGTATAGTCCCAGGCCAACACCATTTGGCAAAGCCAGCAGCATGACACCAGCGATCTTTTTAGCTGTCAGGGTGTCATTCTGACTACCGCTGTAACGGTTTGTGTTATTCCTACTAATCACCACAGTAAGGGGCATTTATCCCACTGGCCTCCAATGAACTGGTTTGAGGAAGGGTTTCCAGAAGCCTTCAAGTTACTTTAGGAGTTCCTCTGCAATACAAAAATAGAGGTTGCTCTAATTGATCACTAGGTGAGTATACACTATATTGCCAAAAGTATTGGCCAGCCCCCAGCCCTCCAAGTCATGCGATTCAGGTGTTCCAATCCCCTCCCATATCATGTGATTCAGGTGTTCCAATCCCCTCCTCCATGGACACAGGTGTATACAATCATCCCCTAGGCATGCAGACGGCTTCTACAAACATTGGTGAAAGAATGGGTCGCTCTCAGGAGCTCAGTGACTGCAAGCATGATAGGTGGCCACCTGTGCAATAAGTCCATCCGTGACATTTCCTGGCTACTAAATATTCCACGCCAGGGGCGGACTGACCATTTGGAAACTTGGGCACTGCCCCCGGGGTCAGTAGGGGGCCCCATGAGATGCCCCTGGTACCTTTTTCATAGGCTTTTTTGAGTTTGGGCAGGGACACGGGCCCCATGATAGAGGGCTATAGGGTTAGAGTCATAGAGTTTGGGTTATAGAATTAGAGTCAAAGAGTTAGAGTTAGTTATAGAGGTAGGGTTATAGAGGTAGAATTATAGAGGTAGGGTTATAGAGGTAGGGTTATAGAGGTAGGGTTTTATAGAGGTAGAGTTATAGAGATAGGGTTATAGAGGTAGAGTTATAGAGGTAGGGTTATAGAGATAGGGTTATAGAGGTAGAGTTATAGAGGTAGGGTTATAGAGGTAGAGTTATAGAGGTAGGGTTATAGAGTTAGGGTTATAGAGGTAGAGTTATAGAGGTAGGGTTATAGAGGTAGGGTTATAGAGATAGAGTTATAGAGATAGGGTTATAGAGGTAGGGTTATAGAGTTAGGGTTATAGAGGTAGAGTTGTAGTTAGAGGTAGGGTTATAGAGATAGAGTTATAGAGTCTTAGGTGTTATAGAGATAGAGTTATAGAGATAGGGTTATAGAGGTAGGGTTATAGAGATAGAGTTATAGAGATAGGGTTATAGAGGTAGGGTTATAGAGGTAGGGTTATAGAGATAGAGTTATAGAGATAGGGTTATAGAGGTAGGGTTATAGAGTGGAAGCTGCAGAGGAATAAGGGTAGAGTTATAGAGGTAGAGTTATAGAGATAGGGTTATAGAGTTAGGGTTATTGAGGTAGAGTTATAGAGGTAGGGTTATAGAGGTAGAGTTATAGAGGTAGAGTTAGGGTTATAGAGGTAGGGTTATAGAGGTAGAGTTATAGAGGTAGGGTTATAGAGTTAGGGTTATAGAGGTAGGGTTATAGAGGTAGAATTAAAGTATAAGAGTAATAAAGTTAGAGTTATTTATAGAGTTAGTTTTATGGAGTTAGAGTTCGATTTATAGAGTTCGGATTTTTAGGGTTCGAGTTATAGAGTTGGGGCTACAGAGTTATGGTGATATTTCTTCCACCACGGATCCGTTCACAACAATTTGGACTTTTCCATGTAAATTCACAAAGATATGCTTCTTTAGGGACAAGTCAATCTCCAGAACTCCATCTCAGGCCTCTGGCCTGACAGCAAACGTCCTGAGAATCTTCACATCCAGTCTTATCCATAGCTGACATACTTGTAGTAATGTTGTAATAATTCCTAGAATAAGTTATACTTCCTATACCAAGGACAGCCATTCCACTTCTTCATCATTCTCTTTCTTCTGGTATCCCAGGAGCTCAATTTTTGTATTAATTATTCTATTTCTAGTGTTCTGCCCCATTGAGCTCCTTTCACTGTCTTTTATTTGTATTTTTGAATATTGGTCAATGTTTGCTCAACAGTTCACTGACATTGAATCAATGCTGATTTTTCAGGTCAGAAAAGAGGACATGTATTCCTGGGAAAACTTTCTTGTTTTATCTCATTCTATAAATGGCTTGTATTTCAAATAAAGATGTAGTAAATTGGAAATATGGACCAAATTAAGAATAATATGATGCCTGGGGTAGCCCAACCAGGGCTGGCACTATCAAATACCATCCTGCCTAAGCACCATCCTGAACAAGTACCCGGCACTTTCATCATCTGATCATCTCTTCTTTCTCTGTCCTCTTCTCGGGTAATTACTGCTGAACCTCCTGGTACATATCCCGCAGAGCAGTGCCCTGATCCCCATGCTCTTGTTCTGACAATCCCTTGCCTATTAGCCTTGAAAATGGCCAGAAAATAATTTTAGAGATTCCCTGTTAAGTTCAATGTGGTCTGGAATTAATATTTGTATTTAGCAGCAGTTTGGCAAACATCCTGTGAACCATACTCTGGTACATTTGATTCCTCACTACTCTCTGATACACACTGCTGGCCTCTGAACACTGCTTTACTTGCTCCCAATCCACCTATTCCCAACCCTTACATGCTAATGACCTCTGAACTTTGTATTACTCTTGACCCCTGCACGGTCCTGAAAAAAATGTATACTGCTCTGACAGGCCAAATGCAGCCCTGCAAGCCAAAGCAGAACTCAGCCAGCCAGACTAGAATTGAAACCAGTTATCCAGACCAGAACTCGGCCCAGCTAGCCAGATCAGAATTGGGACCACTTATCTAGACCAGAACTCAGCCCAGCCAGCCAGACAAGAATTGGGACCAGTTTCCAGACCAGAACTCAGCCCAGCCAGACAGACCAAAACTAAGACCAGTTATCCAGACCAGAACTCGGCGCAGCTAATCGGATCAGAATTGGGACCAGTTATCTAGACTAGAACTCAGCCCAGCCAGCCAGACCAGAACTGAGACTAGTTATCCAGACCAGAACTCAGCCCAGCCAGCCAGACAAAAATTGGGACCAGTTTTCCAGACCAGAACTCAGCCCAGACAGACCAAAACTAAGACCAGTTATCCAGACCAGAACTCAGCCCAGCCAGCCAGACAAAAATTGGGACCCGTTTTCCAGACCAGAACTCAGCCCAGCCAGACAGACCAAAACTAAGACCAGTTATCCAGACCAGAACTCAGCCCAGCCAGCCAGACAAAAATTGGGACCAGTTTTCCAGACCAGAACTCAGCCCAGCCAGACAGACCAAGACTAAGACCAGTGTTCCAGACCAGAACTCAGCCCAGCCAGACCAAGACTAAGACCAGTTATCCAGACCAGAACTCAGCCCAGCCAGCCAGACAAAAATTGGGACCCGTTTTCCAGACCAGAACTCAGCCCAGCCAAACAGACCAAGACTAAGACCAGTTATCCAGACCAGAATTCAGCCCAGCAAGCCAGACAAGAATTGGGACCAGTTTTCCAGACCAGAACTCAGCCCAGCCAGACAGACCAAGACTAAGACCAGTTATCCAGACCAGAACTCAGCCCAGCCAGCCAGATAGACCAGAAATAGGACCAGTTATCCAGATCAGAGATCAGCCCAGCCAGCCAGACTAGAAGTCAACGCAGCCAACCAGGCCAGAAGTCAACCCAGCAAGCAAGGTCAGAACTCAAACAAGTCAGTTAGGCCAGCAATCCAACCTACCAGCTCACCAGCCAGCTGGACCAAAATTCAGCCCAACCAGCCAAGAACATTCAGGAGCAGACTGACAGATGACCATTTGGACCCATGCATCAAACTTGGGGTGACTCCTCTCCTGACATGAACAAAAATGTGAAAGTGATTGTCAAGTTTCTCACTGAGGCTGAAAAGGTAAAAATTTTTTAATTTTAACAGTAATATTTATATTATTTATTTATTCCAGGTATATAGCGCTGTCAGTTTAGGCAGATCTTTATATATATATATTGTACATTCACATCAGTCCCTAACCCTCAAGGGGCGTACAATCTAAGGTCCCTAACTCACATTCATACATACACATACTAGGGACAATACAGACAGGATCCAATTACATTTTAATGGAAACCTGCTTGGTAATCTTAAAAAAACTGTGCTGCACCCTGGTGATTTTTGATCTCTTCCATGTGGTTCAGGTAGATCTCCGCCTCTCCAAGATTGCAATACCCCTGCTTTAGAAAGACAGCTGTATGTGCCTTGTGTCTCTGCATTTAGGCCCATTGTTGTTTTTTCCAAACTGTGGCACTGCCAGGGGCGGACTGACAACTCATGGGCCCCCGGGCAATAGGGGATCATGGGGCCCCTGTGTCCTTGCCCAAACTCAAAAAAGCCTATAAAAAGGTACCAGGGGCATCTCATGGGGTCCCCTACTGACCCCGAGCCCTCGGGCAGTGCCCGAGTGCGCTCAAACGGTCAGTCCGCCCCTGGGCACTGCTGACCAATTTTTTATGCACCAAAGCTAAGGAGAGCACAGGGAATGTGGGGTGATGTGTGATGTCTGAGAATTCAAATCCAATCCAAAACTCATCCATAATAA